TATTTAATGTTTCACATTTGTATTTTTAAGATTCCTTTAGGAAACTGTAGCCTTTTCAAATCAAGAATAGTATAGCTGGGTGTGGTGGTACATTCCTGTAATCCCAGCAAATCAGGAGGCTGAGGCATAAGGGTCACAAATTGAAGGCCAGCCTCGGCAATTTAGAAAAGCCCTAAGCAACTTAGTAAGGTCCTGTCTCAAAAGTAAAAAATAAAAAAAGCTTGGGGTATAGCTCAATGGTAAAGTGTCCCTGAGTTCAAATCCCAGTTATCCCCCACACACACACAAAAAAAACAAAAACAAAAAACAGAATAGATTCTTTTCATCAGATTTGTGGCATATGCCTATAATCCCCAGCATATGGAAGCTGAGGTGGGGATTGCCAATTCAAGGTTTAATTTAGAAATTTAGTGAGGCCGTAAGTAACTTAGCAAGATCCTGTCTCAAAAATAAAAAATAAGGGCCAGGTGTGGTGGCACACACCTATAATCCCAGTGTCTCCGGAGGCTGARGCAGGAGGATCATGAGTTCAAAGCCAATTTCAGCAACTTAGGCCCTAAGCAACTCAGCAAGACACTGTTTCTAAATAAAAAATAAAAAGGGCTAGGGATGTGGCTCAGTGGTTAAGTAACCCTGGGTTCAATCCCCGTACCAAAAAAAAATTTAAAACATAAAATAAGAATAAAAGTAAAAAAGGACTGGGGACGTAGCTAAGTGGTAGAACTCCCCTGGGTTCAATCCCCAGTACCAAAAAAAAAAAAAATATATATATATATATATATATATATATAGTAGTGTCTTCTCTAGATTCCTTACAAGACCAAACATAGACTGATGCACAACAAATATTTAACTGATATTCCCAACATTGTATGATAATTTTTACCAGGACCCTATCCCTCTGTTTACACTTATTTTGTTCTCCCACCTCCCTTTTCAATAACTACCTTCAAACTCTTCATACCCAAGCTATTATAAATATAATGACATCAATGATTATGCTGTAAGAATCAAGTACAGTGTGGGATTTGGTTCATGCCCTAACCTCCAAGAGAACCTCTCCTTCTAGGACTCATAATTTCAACTCTCCTATTCCATAACTACAAGAAGCTGTGTGAACATCATCTCAGGAAACTTTTCCTTACTGTTTTGACGATAGTTGGATTTCTTCTCATCATTCAGAACTAAATACAGAAAACATTTTGTTTCAATTTTACAACTAGTTCTTTAAAAGTATTTTAAACTGATATTTCTATTTGACTTGACTCTATTTTCTTTACTCCTAAAATAAATGCCACATGAATACCTTCATATTTACTCTCTGGCAGACTAGATCAATTTAGGGGAAACTCCAACAAATAAATTCTACCTCTTCAAGGCCCTCCTTTTGTATCATGTTCTCCTACCTCACAACATTCCACCCATACTTCCCTCTTTACAGGACTAAGGCCTTTTTCAGACTCAGTCTTTCCCATATAATAGTTTCTGCTGGGAATGTGTTTCCCTGTACTTTATAACTAACCCCTCAATTTCAGGTCTGCTTAAAYGCCATTTTCTTGAGAAGCTACTCTCCATATTCCCAATCTACATGGTATCCCCTCTCTTTTGACTCCTTACTGTGCTTTTTATTTTTCCTTTAAGGAACTTACCACAGCCTGAAATCATGTTCATTTTTGTGATTATTTCATTAACTGCTTATCTCCACCAGGAATATAAATTTATGAGGTCTGGGACCACATCATAAAGACAAACATGCTGACTTCTACACCTTCCATCTTCTCAGTGGTGCTCTGGGGAGGTACCAAGCATTTGCCTGTTATCTACAGGCAAACTGAATTCAGAGGGCTCTGTGTATCCTCAAATACCTCTGCCCACTGTGCTGCATGGAGCCCCAGTCTGTTCCATGTCCTACTCTGTTAGCTCAACAACATTTAAGGGAAGAGTTGATGCAACTGACCCCTGTTTTGCCACATGGATTTTAAGCACCTCATAATCCACTGAAAAATGGTCATGGTGTTGCAAACCCTACTTCAAACTGATATAAGTAAACCTGCTGGATGAATGTATGTTCTTGTCTTTTTCATTAGACATATGCTTTTTGAGAAAAAGCCCAAAGGGGTCAAAGGTGGATGGCTCATGTTTTCTTCTCTACTTACACATACACCTAAAACACACAACCAAACTGTACTTTATGGCCAACCTAGGTCTTTGTAACCTAAAGAAAAATACAATGAGCAAGAGGAGGCATCAGTAGGAAGGCACTTAACAGTTTAAAGTGAACAACTTACATGTTCACAACATTATAAACCATGGGAAAGAACTGCCAAAGTTACTTCAGTCTTGGAATAATACCAAATATCTTTAGGTTCTCCCCAAATAGGTCAACTTTCAGACATTAGCTGYGAGTAAAACACAATAGGAGCCAATAGTCTAGTAATTAATTCTCTTCCCTGACCTCAATCACCAGAAAGGCAATCTGGTCTTAGAGGATCAGGAAATTATATTCTCTTCTTGGTCTGGCTTTCAACTGTCCATCTCAGCACAATCTCAGCTATAAAATGAGCACACCAGCACTAAAGTACTGTAGTTCTATACTATTATACCATGATACAGGAGTGGTATCAAAAACTATGGAGATTGTGGGCTTGGATATACCTCAGTTGGTAGAGTGCTTGCCTTGCATGCACAAGGCCCTGGGTTCAATCCCCAGAACCACAAAAAAAAAAAAAAAAAAAAACTATGGAAGTTGTAGAGCTGCTAAACTCTATCAGAACAACTCTAACATTCTCTTTTCAATGCTCTATGACAAATTTAAGTAAGATGTTGTGAATTTGACATATAAACAGAGAAGGTAGGTAAGAATGGTAATCCAGAAGCCATTAGATATAAGGTATGAGTGAGAGAGGCAAACATATTTAGTTTGGAAAAGAGTATCTGATCATCTTTTAAATACCAAGAGACGAATATCACAATGATGACTTGGTCTGTTCCTCTTCATAAAATTGCACCAACCGATGGGTAAAGACTGCAGGCAAGCATGTGACACAATAGATGAAAAACATTTAATTAGGTCTACAGAGGTATTGACTTCCTCTGAAATAAATTGCCTCCTTTGTCACTGAATGTCTCAGAAGCTAACTTAGCAATTTCATGGGCCATTTTAGAGAGGGAATCAACAAACTTTTTTCTGTAAGGAGATCTAAGGACCATGTGTACCCTTTAAAGAATGTAAAAACCAAGTGGGGTGCAGTGACACAAGGCTTATAATACTAGCAACTGGGGAGGCTCAAATGTGTGATCTGTTGCCTTTCTTCAGTTAAACTCTAAATTGAGTTTGAGGCCAGCCTGSGAAATATAGTGAGACTCTGTCTCAAATCAAAATAAAAAGGTCTAGGGATGTGGCTTAGTTCATAATGCCCTAGGTTCAATCCCTAATATTACCAAATAAATAAATTAATTAATTAATTAATCCTTATTTCACAGGCCATACAAAACAGGTAGTTATTTATCCTTGTTCTAGAGGAAGCTGCCTAAAAGAAATATGAATCACATATGTAATTTTAAATTTTCCAGAATCTATAATTAGAGATTAAAAAAAATGGGCAAAGCTAATTTTAATGTTTTAATCCAATATATCAAAAATTATGTTAACACATAAATAAAATTAGTAATGAGATCTTTTACATTTTAAAAAACAAAATGTTTGAAGTCTGTTGTGTATATATATGTATTTTTAAATATTTATTTTTTAGTTATAGGTGGACACAACGTCTTTATTTTATTTTTACGTAGTGCTGAGGATTGAGCCCAGTGCTTCACGATGCTAGGCGAACACTCTACCTCTGAGCCACAACCCCAGCCCTACATTGTACATTTTATGACTTATACCATATCTCAATTCAAACAGGCACATTTCAAGTGCTCATTAGCTATGTGTGGCTATTATATTGGACCAAGCTGTTCCAAAGAAACTTGGGCTTACCATTAGGACACAAAACAGGTTATCTTCATTTTTTATTTTTATTTTTTTGTGGGATTGGGGATCTAACCCAGGACCTCACACATGTTAGGCAAGCTGTCTATCATAAGCTACATTCCCAGCCCTTTTATTTTTCACTTTATTTGAAACTGAGTATCACTAAGTAGCCCAGGCTCTTATTCAGTTAAGCTCTAATTTGATTCATGTACAAGGTATAGGAAGGAGAGTATTTTGATGCCATCTTCTTGTGGTAATGTTATATGATAATACAAACAAAAAGCCACATTTTAGAAATGAAAGGTATCACTCAAACAGATCTACAGAAAACAACCCAGAAGAAAACTTTCTCTTTAACTCCAAGTACTCTTCTTTATAAATGTAAGAGCATGCTCAGAGTGACTATCACCAAAAGAGTTCCCTAATTTCTGCAGAAATTATAAACCATGAACAGACAAAGCAATGTATTTTCATCCCTCATCAATTATCAAAAGAGCCTACCCCAAACAAGGGAAGAAAGATCATATGAAGAATCTTTTGCTAGTTCATCTTCCACCCATAGAACAGGCTAAGTCACTTAAGATAGAGACATGAATAAAGATAATTTCATTCAATGCCATTCTTCAGCCACTAGGTTTTCAAGTTTGGAGTTTATAAGATTTATAAAACCATAGGACTGTGAGACACACAAAAAATTTGATCTTAACAATCTTTTCCTCTACCATTGCTGATATTACTCAAAATCCTAAATCTTTACTATCAAAATAATGAAAAGTTAGCAGAAAGCTCATTCACAACASATTCACAGAATCTCACTTTCAATAAAATAGGGCCATGAAACAATCAGTGTACTCCTGGGGGAAGAGTTTTCAAGTGGGAGACACAAAAAGATAATCGATGTTAAAATGTTTTCCTAATTAGGAAAAAAAAAAAAGGCTATTTCAAGAGTTAAAAGGCTGCCTTACCCTAAACTAGCAGACTCCCTCTGTAAGAGGCTGACAGTGGGGACATTTAAGTGCATTACCTTTAGGAGGAAAATATGACTTGCTTTCTGCTTTGTGAGGCCAGTCTACCACGAGAGGTCCAAACCTACGAAAACTGGCAGTGATCTCATCTACAAAATAAAGAAGGAATGTTAGCAAAAGAGAAAAAAAAAAGAAAAAAAGAATTACAATCAGAGTAGTCCCAAACACGTCTTTTTATTTAAAAAAAAAAAAAAAGTTTTGAGAGTTACTTTCTAAAGCATTTTTAAAGAAGTCAAACCTACTAAGTGAAATACCACTGCTTGAGTAAATATTTGGTTATTCACTTTTTACCATGTAAAGTGTGTTTCTAACCATAATTCACTACCTTCTACTGCCAATAAATTTGATATAAAGAACTCAAAAGGAAAAAATCCAGTATTAGCTAAGGTAACTCCTCTGTCAAGTAAAAAGAAGAATCTAAAAATAGGAATGTTTTTTGTTTTTAGAAAAAAGGCAAAGGTACAGAAAATACTTAATATATACTTTCACTTGTATGGATTCTCTAGTATTATATTAGAAATAAATATGAATCTTTTGATGAAGATCGGGGCAATAAGTAGGTAACTATTTGGTAATAAGAAAATGTTAAAAGCCATTTAAGATTTCTTTTTTTTCTCTAATACCTGCATACTATATATTTTATTTTTAAAAAAATTTTTAATTGATTTTTTAAAATAAATGACAGCAGAATGAATTGCATTTGTTTTTACACATATAGAGCATAATTTTTCATATCTCTGGTTGTTTATAAAGTATGTTCAAGCTCAAGTTTATCTTCTTCTTCTTTGACTCAGAGCAGAAGGTTGTAACCTGGTCCTCCTAAGGTTTAGGCTGCCAATTTCTTAGTCATGATAAAAATTTATCTTAAAGGAAATCTAACTGACAGATGCTATTAACACAGATGTGAAAACATTTTGGAGGAAAATGAGTCTCTAGATCTGTACAACTTTAATGCAGTAAGTCTAAAATAAAACTATTTTTAGAGATTTTTCTCTAATTATGAAAAAAAAGGAAATCATGATAAATTACAGAAGAATCATAGCTAGAATAATGCTTGCAAAACAAATCTGTTTTAATAACTCTTTTATAACAGAGCTGAAGCCTATTGGAACTAGAGTTGTTTTTCTCCTTTAAGTTAGCTATGTCATAATTTCATTTCATTTGTAATTTAACAAACATTTATTTACAACTATTATGTGATAAAATAAATATTTTCACTGGTTTAGGCATAAATGAAAAATTATTTTTCTTTTGAGCTGGTAGTATCTCAAAACTATTGTCAAGAAAAATGCTAATCTGTCTTCACTCTTATAAAAGGTAAAGGGAAATATGTTTTTCATTAATTTATATACATATATATATATATTAAAATATGATGGTATGATGGACATGAACAAAAGCTCCTTACTCAGACTTATTTTAAGTTTTAACCACACCCTTTTAACTACACCTACATAATCCTGGACAAATTATTTCTCTTGGATTCTCAGTTTTCTCATCTGTAAAATGGATATAAGATAATTTACTTATGAAATACTCAGCACAATGATGGACTTAAAGTAGGAGTGTCATAAGTACTGATTCTCATTATTATTTTAATATATAGCCCAAATTAGTAAGTAGGAAGTGGAAGCTGTTGGGGGATGGCTGCATTGCCACATATGAACAACAGACCCTGAAGTATGTAATCTATTACTTCCTCATTTATCAAACATTCTCACCTCCAACACATTTAAGATACAAATGACCAAAAACTAACCTGAAGAAAAGAGTCAGGGTCAGATAACATAACTCAGCCTTTATAAAGTCTGTACACAACGTACCTTCATCAATATCAGGGGGAAGGCCTCCAACAAACACCTTTCTGGAGTAGCGTTCCACTCGTTCCCCATTTTGACATCGAGTAGGAGAACTTAAGCCAGATGACAAGGCCTGATCACCATGGCTGTCATCCAAAAAGGCGTCTTCAAAGGGAAAGAGAGAAGATCGACCTGAAATCAATGTAGGAGTTTCTATAATTAGACTGATTTTCTACACARTGCTTTCTTACATAGATTTATTAGAAGCCCAAAGTTCGAGTGTGTCCTGAGCTGTTTGCTTTTCCAATAGAATATACAACTGAAGARTACCCATGTAGAAAAGTTTAAATCTTTATTTTTGTGTAAGGATATAAAGCATGGAGAATACTAGATTGATACTAAGGAAGAAGCATCAAAATTGCAGCTGTTTTCCTTGCTAAAAATTCATTACACTTTACTCCTATGGTCACCATCACAGCTGCTAAGAATATATTTGGCAGTTATTTTTCTTTTATGCAGTTACTTGTTAAAATAAAAAGAAAATATAATATTTGTTCACAGATTTTTATCTATTTTTGGTAGTGACCTCAGAGGTTATAAAGAGTGGCCTTGATAGCTAAGGGAATATTAAACTGATGATGGAGGCTAATAACTTCTCATCTAATAGAAGAACTAAAGATCAAGGTTTCCCTATCATCCCAAGCTATTTCAATTTGAAAACAAATTTGTGCAATAATATAAGGCAAAGCAATTAAATGAACACATATAAATTAAGATGTGGGAATAAAGATATAAATATGGTAAGGATATCTTAACCCTATTAATCTAAGCTGTATTTTATATCACTCAAAATAAATAGACTACAGAATTATTTTCACTATTAACTCCATAGCCAAGTAAATTTTGTAGAGCCAAGGCATCTACCCACTCCATGTGACTATAAGGAAGATATCAGAAGTTAGGTTCTGTTAATAAGTATAACATAATAATGCCACTTGGCATTACAAAATAAAATCTAAGTTTAAAAACAAATACATTTCCTGTTTGAATCTGTCAGTTCCTGGTGAAACTTTCCATTAGGTTCAAATGGAATGAACTATCYTGAGAACTCTAACCTTTGAAAAAAAGAAAAGAAAAATGTCCTTCTAAAATAAATTCATATTTTTCAAAAAAACAAGAAAAAAAATCTCTTCCACATTTAGTCTATCCTGTCTATATCTCCCTGAAACCTAGGTTTTGTACCACAACAGACAACTTGCTATGAAACAGAATATTAACAACCTGAGAAAAATACTAAACATTTCTTTTACAAAAAAAAAGAGTTGCTAATATAACTGTGTTTACTTTATGAACAACCCAAGTGGTGCAAGAAAGGCACTGTTTTCATGTTATGAGTTAATAAATAAAAGGGCCAAATGTGGGGGTACCTATAGAAATTTTTGTTCAGCTCTTCCCAGTTTAGCTACAAAGAGACAGACTTAGTATCAAATTCATGTCCAGGTCAGCATTTCCTACAGAATGTTTGTATTCCCACCTTTTATTCTCCACACTAGTGACATGAGATGATCATAAGACCAAACTGGGTCAGGAGGAGGTACTAAATAATTTAGGAAAATACTGCATACTTTATTCCCTTCCCAGAGTTTCCAACTCACATTAGAAAATAAAAGGCTTTAAACAGTTCTGCAGTAAAGAAACATTAAGCTTCTCCAGCATTACACGGATTTAAGATAAAGGAAGTCCATAAATACAAAACTCAATGGAAAACACTTGAGGAAATATTGATCCATGTTCCAAGAGCCCCAAATGAGATACTTCCCTGCCAAAGGAGTAACAGTCTGCTGAGGGAAATAGTCAAGTACAGAATAATTATAAAATAGAAATATGAAGAGAGGTCACGTAATACTAGAGCACAATTTACTGCTCTCCTGAAGATGAGGGGGGAAGACCAGCAGAGTGATTTCACAGGAGGGCAATTCTGAGCAGAATCTTATGGGGGTAGGAAATTCTGAGGTAAAGAAAAATAATCTACAGAGAAAGGACCTTTAAAAGAGGTCTCAATCTTTCCCTCCAAACTTACTCCTCTTGAGCATCCCCTAAAACTTCAATAAAACTATTACCCAAACCTGACTCAAAAGAGAAGTCTAGGAATCATTCTTGACACACCTCTCCCTCTCTCTCCCCCACCTTCTGGCCCCTCTCATATTCCAAATGTTAAAAATGTCAAACCCATTTTTCAATAAAGCTCCAAAAGAAATCTTCCTTTAGGTCCTTTCCATCCCCAGTACTAATGGTAGATCAACATCATCGCTGTCCTGGACTCCCAGTCTAAGGTGCACACACACACCGCCTTGTCACTCCATTAATTTCTCCCTTGTCCCCACAATGTTTTCACCACAAAACAGCCAAAGTCACCATTTTCAAACATTAATTGGATCATGTAATTACACTCCATACTCACATCTTCAAAAGCTGTCAAATGACTCCTCAGTGCTTTTTGGATAAAGGACAAAAACTTCACCGTGAAGGGCAAGGTCTCTGCTTACCTCTTTTGCACTACAGTTGATGCCTCTCCCTCTCGCTCACTAGCCTCCAGTCACACAGACCTCCTTTGTATTTCCTGACTGTTCTTCCTTACCACAGGTGCTAAGGACAAGGTGTTCTCTCTAGCCTCTAAACAAAAACTCCTTTCTCAAATACCCAGCTTCCTAGTTAATTCCCACTAATTCTTCAGGTCTCCGCTGAAAAGTCAGTTTCTCAGGTGGAACTTTTCAGAGTCTTTAGATTAGATTAGATACTGTCTTCTATCCATGCGTAGCATCCTATAATACGGCTTCCTAATACTTCCCCAAATGCCATTCTATATTGTGTGATTTTTATTGAGTATCTCTTTTCCCAACCCCATTAAACTATAAGCTCCATTAAGATAGGGACCAATTTAGAAGAAGGTGGCAATCAAGGAAGGACAACACTGTGTAAAAACACGCCACAACAAGTATATGCTCAAAATAATAGAGGGGCGTGAGAATGAAAGAGATGTGACCGTGTCCTAGAAAACAGACCTTTCCTATCACTTTTACTTGTTCAAGCATTATGCTCTATACTTTGTATTACAAAAGCAATAGGCAATTTTCCCGCTTTCAAATTCAATATTTCTAGCTGAAATATCAGCCTTTTTTGATTAACACTCACTCCCTGGGAACTATGATATTCCCACTCAGTCCATCTTCTGTCCTGCCAAAATAATTTCTCTGAGATACCTCTGACAGGCTAAATCCCAAATYCTACAAAGATTCTGTCACCTTCATTGGTAATTTGGAACCCCTCTCCAACACAGGGAAGCAGGGGGCGGGTGCAGAGGGATGGATTCTGCAGAAATCTGTGACTGACCATCCATGAGAAATGAGGAAGTCTTGAACGAGAATAGTGAAGGAACAGCAGCAGATGTTCAAGATATTCTTGAACAAAGAAAACCTTTCTCATGACCAACAAACCACAGCTTCCCCAGAGTATTTTGGCAAAGAAAGTAAAAGCAAGAGTTGTAAAACTGTAGACAGTTTTAAAATTGGTTATGGGTAGTTAAGACACTTCCCAAGATTTTATAAACCTCAGTCTTATTTTTAGTATTTAGAGTACTACAAACCTTAGCAATAAAGTTGCCCTTGCAAATGAAACTGATAATAATTAACATATAAATGATGTTTCTCTGTGAATAGGAACAAAGAATATAGGTCTCAGAGCCCAACCCCCGAATCTACTAAACTGAATCTGTGGATGTGAGACTTGAAAATCTGCATTTTCACAAATTTCCCCRAAGATTCTTAATGCTCAATTTTAAGAACCAATTAAATGGATTAATATCCATCTGTCTGCAACAGGGCAGTCACTGAATGAGATATTATATGAAGTATATGGGGTCTTTCTCAACATCCAAGTTCATTTAAGTTAAGGAAAGCATATTCTCACAATTAGAATGTAAAATGTATAACATAATCAACCTTACTATAACACGACTGCCTGAAGTGCTAGTGGAATAAAAAGTTAAAGCCTACAGAAAGCATTAAAATATAGAAATGAGAGCTAGAGGATATTATAGCTCAGTGGTAGAATACTTGCATAGCATGTAAGAGGCCCCGGAACCATAAAAAAATATTTTTTTTCTAAATATGACAACAACAATACAACTGTAGATCACGAATTGATAGTACAAACAAATAGGAGACAGCAGAACTTTACTATAGTGGGTAGGATGATTCCTTTGCAAAACAGAATACTAGTTCATCTGATATTTCCATAGCCTAAAAACCATCTATTTCTCTCTGCTCTAATTATAAGCTTCTGAGAGGCTATTCTGTGAATAAATCTGGCACTTTGCTAGTATAAAAGGGTTATTTTTGAACTAGTGACAAATTTTGCTTCTATACAAATCAATCTCCACAATAAATTAACACATTGGTATTCTGAGTTGTCCAGTGAACCTTGTGAAGCTGGTGTTCACACATTCATTTGGTTGGCACAAAAGCCATCCTCAAGATAAATCATCCCTTGGAAGACTGCTAAAATTCATTCCCAGATAAGTGTTACTAGTAACTGAAACTTTAAGAGGCTACACCTAAATTATGCCCCTAAAGTACTAACTAGTGCTTTTCTGGAATATTTCTTTTCTTTAAAGGAAACATTCCCCAAGACCAAAATGTTTTAAACAAGCCACATTACTTACCCCCCAAATTATATTCTTATGTGCAGAGTATATAAGTTTGCTTTAGAACCTCAAGATATTGCCACAGAAAATATATTCAACAGAAGGAGGAAAAAGACTTCTCAAATGCTGTGACTTGGTCATTGAGCTTTCCACAAATGATCTGTTTCTCTAATATCTATTCTCACTTGCTACCCAGAATGTAATCTTTTGTCCAGAAGTTGGACTAACAATCAAAGATAATGACCAATGTTTTCTTTTTTTCCCCCTGTTACTGGGCAACAAACCCAGGTTCTCAGCTCATGCCGGGGCAAGAGCTCTACCACTGATCCACAACCTCAGCCTCTGGACAAATGTTCTTTGAATGTGGTGGTGACTTAAAACTAATAGAGCTTTGGAAGAAAAGTGTTGCACAGAAGACCTACAAAGCACTAGTTAAGGAAAGCCTTGTCCAAGACAATTTTTCCCTAAGAGTCTCCCTTGCCTATAGCAA